AAAACTGGGTAAAATAGGGCCAGATAATTTTCACGTTAATCTCAAAGCCAGACCTCGTAATTCCAAAGCAATAGCTTCAAAATTGCCAAGTATCGCTATGTAATTGCAAAGAAATGCTTTGTAATCAACAAATGATCCTAAATTACTTTGCAATTTGAAAAAGCGTCAGTAAATCATTGCTTCCCTGGAAAACAAAGGTGCTAAAGCCTGCCCATAAAGGCAGTAAAGGGTGCCTTTACAAAGGCACTATAATTTTTAACACTTTTTAAGGCTCTTTAATGTCTTTATAGAGGAAACTGAAAATGTCCTTAGCACCCCTGAAAAGACACGACTTAGCACCTCTTTTATCAGTGTTTGCAAGAATTTAAAACTGTTCACACTTTAAACCCGTTTGAGTTTCCACAGAACATTTCCTCAAACAATGTTTTTCTACACGCTCCACTCTAGAATCCCAAGTGTGTACATTACGCTCAACCTCCTGAATACCTGCATGTTTTGAGGAGGAGGTAGTTTGTATATGCTCATATAATGATATGCAGGAGGTACATGTCCAGGTATACACACGTAGAGCCCTATGATAAAAGCAATGTGCTAAAGTGGCCATGTATACATACAACCTCCTGAATACAGCATATAGAATGTAAACACTACCATCTGAATACATAAAGGTATTCAGGAGGCAGAGCGTGCATGTATACACTCTCGGGATACAGAGCAGAGCACCTCTATACCAAAGCCTATTTTAGTTGTGGTTTCACGCACCCAGAAAAGCAGTTCTGTAGTTAAAGAATTTTTATTTATCTTAACGAAAATTTCACAGCAGAAATCAAAGAAACGTTTTTCGTTAGGGTGAACATTTTTATTCAATTCAACGAATTTTTTTGTCAAATTAATACAGATGTTTGTCAGATTGAAAAAAGATTGTTAAACAAACAAAGTTTTTTGTTACAACTATAATTTCATTGGTTTTGGCAACGTCAAAATTTTGTTGTTAGAAAGATATGGTTTTCTTGGTGCGGGTTCAGTCACAGAATGATGTATCGGCGATGGCCCCTGGAGTAGGAAAACCCGCCACACTGTGACTTTGCCCTGACACAGCCAGTCCAGGCAGGCACCCATGTGTTGTGCGTAAGTATGTCTGTGCGTGAATGTATGTGTGCAGCGGGCTGCTGCAGCTCACCGCGCTTGTTTTACAAACGATCACACGTGTCGGCCGCTGCCTTCAAAGGCGCGCCTGCCTGCCTCTCTCTCTCTCTCTCTCTCTCTCTCTCTCTCTCTCTCTCTCTCTCTCTCTCTCTCTCTCTCTCTCTCTCTCTCTCTCTCTCTCTCTCTCTCTCTCTCTCATCCCCCACCCCCTTCGGCCCTCTCTCCAACCGCACGACGCATCGCGTCGCTCTCCGGGGCAAAAAGCCTCAACGGCGGAGGACGACAATATTTCTCCTGAAAATTATCTCGCGCCGGCGAGGAGATGACGCGCAAATAAACTAAACTCCGGCCGCCCCGCCCCGCCCCGCCCCGCCCCGCCACTCGGCCGGCCCGCGTAACGCGTTGCGACGCGCAGCGACGCGGCACAAGAAATGACGAGAGGGAGACAGGCGCACCGCGGACTGAGCAGAGCAGGAGGGGGAGTGAGGTACGTACGCCGCGAGGTTCGCCGTTAGCCTGCGGAAACGTGCACTTTGGGACATGCCAATCTCCTTTGTCAATTTTTACAACGGGATGACAAAGTCATGAAACTAATTTGAATGGCGTGTGGCACAAAGTGTGACTGTTTGAATGAAGCCTACACCGGAAACCCAAGTGTGTCAGTATCGTTCACTTGTAGAGATGGTGACATTCGTACATACCGGGAGGCTCAAGTGTGTGAAAAATTCACTAAGTACACAAATTGGCATTCATACACCTACAAGGGTGCTACATTCACACTTTTGCGTTCCCAGTGTATATAAGCACGCGTCAAGAGCCGGGGCTGTGCGTTGTCGGCGCAGACGGCCTCCAGCACAGTCGCCTAGAGGCTCGGGAGCGCTCGGTGGCCGCGCTGGGCAGGCCCGCCTCGCAGGCGTGCGCGCGCGTGGCCTACCTCCCGGGCGGCGTGGCTCTGTGGCGGCCGGGGGCGCACGGACTGAGTGGGGGGTTGTTGCTGAAGCAAACTGTGTGTGTGTGCGCGGGACTACAGCGGCTTTTTCTAACCGCTTTTAACCTGCCCTCTGATACTCAGCGTGGCTGACGGGTATGGGGGCCGTGGGTAGAGCGGATGTGGTTGTATGGGTGGGGCCGGCCGCCTCTCCATTCCCCTCTTCCTGCCAAATTTGCCAAGGATACCCAAAGGACACACACCATCATAGGCTTAAAATGTACGAGCGGACCCAAAGACCCCCGGGCCGGAGGACGGGACGGGAATAGGATGGGCCGGGATGGCAGCCTCGGCGAAGAGCGGGCGAGCGCCGAGGAGACTGTTTGGTTTATATAAAAAAAATAAAGAGGAAGGGCGCTAAAGGGACGGGGTCCGCGTACAGAAGATGAAGAAAGAGTAAAGTTAAGGAAGGAGGGGAGGAGAGATGAGGAGCGGGGGCGTGAGGGGAGGAGCGGG